AGTCAATTCTGTATTTCTGATCCGCACTTGAGTAGTGGCGTTGCTGGTCTGCAGGCTGCTCTTTTTTAAAAAGCTGATCTAGTTTTAATTAACACACAAAAACTGTATGTATTCTCTGTGTACAACGTGATGTTCGGAAGCATGCGTGCACTGTGGAATGGCTAAGCCGGGCTAATTGACACGCGCGTTACCTCATACAGCCTTTTTTGTGGCGAGGACATTCACAACCTCCTGGCTGAGCCATTTTCAAGACTATGACACATCATTACTAACAACCGTCACACTGCTATAGTGCAGAATTCGAATTTATTCATCCTATCTAACCAACATCCATCGCTCTGCTCTCCCCACCCTCTGGAAAACAGATTTTTGCGACTTTGCCTTTTACCTCTGGGGAGAGCTCACTTGCCCTGCGGTACAGGTTACCAGTGAGGCCCCGGCATGAGGAGCTCCGCTAGCTGCCTGACATGTTGATAGCTTGAAAGTGGCAATTATAGGAGTTTTTGCACTCCAGAAAGTCCATAAATCAGGGTTCCTTGCTTCCTTTGGAGAGCTGCTTATTAAATGTTTAGCACCAGTGTACTCGCTAACCCTGTACGACAGCGAGCCGCGCATACAATGGCTTTGGTGGCTGGGGTTCTGAAGCAAGTTCTGAGTCAGCCTCACTCATCCTTAGGCAGAGACACCAGCTGGGCTGCCTGCTCACAGGAAGTGCGCGCTGGAAGGCGTTCGGCCACTGGCCCATCTCTGCTGCACCGGAGAACCCAGCACTCAGTGCCACTCTGCTGTGTGACACCAAGAGAAGCGGGGTTGTGGGAGGAAAGACAGGGACAGCAGGTGGGTGGGCGAAGGGTGACTTCCTGGGCCCCCGCCCCACGGCCCATATTTCCCTGGCTGTCCCTGGGCACAGGTGGGCTGTGCTCTGCCACCAGCCTAACGCGTTAGCTCCAGTTAGAAATGTGAAAAGTGATTTTCACCAACACAGCAGGAGACTGGTGAACTTCCACGATATCTGCTTTACTGACTGGCCTCTAAAAATGGAGGCAGATTTTAAAAAAACATTTACTATGGTCAAAGACCAGAAAAAAAAATGAATCCTTTTGGGTGACGAAAAGTTTGAGGAAGAAAATGCAATCCCTTTGCGGAAAAAAAGGGAGTCTCCTATTTTCTGAATCATGGCTCATGCAGTTTTAATTTCCTCTTTTTTTTAAAGTTCTTTTTAATTTCACAAACCTCCTTAAGGCCAACAAAGACTCTCCTGAATCTCTTCGCTGTCTGGCCGGTGAGTCACTGCCAGTTCTGCTCAGGTTACTACTATCTATGCCAGGCTGCAGCTCCACCACTGGACTAAATGCACCTTCAGAACGGCCTGCCGAACCATGCTGAGGTGACCTGGGGGCATCTGAGAAGGTGGCTGCCGAGGAAGCCGACCCAGGGCCTCCCTGGCCCTTGGAAGAGGAAGGCTCCTGGGAGTGAATCCAGCAACACCAGGCTCTGATTCTCGGGAGCTGCGGCCGGCCAGGGCACCCAACCTGCAGGGGAAGGCCGTGCCGTGGGCAAGGTTCAGAAAGGCAGAAGCTTCTGTCCTTCGGTCGGCCCCTAGGAGACTGGCTCACAGCCCAGGAAGTGGCCCAGCCGCTCCTCATCTCTGCATCCGTGTGGGAGAGCAAGGGCTTGGAGATGCATCACCTCGACTTTGGGGTGGGAGGATAGGGCTGGTGTGGTCCTGCTGCGTCTGTGCACAGGGGTGTGGGACATGAGCTTCCTGCCACTTCTGACACCCACATCTTTCTTTTCGGGAAGAAGGGAACTTAGAGAAGGCCAGTTCTCAGCGATGGCCGTCTCCTAGGGGCTGATAAGGTGCTGCTCTATCTCCAGCCAAACGCTTCTCTTCCTGTCTTGTATCATTGATTCCGTTCCGTTCATGTGCCACTGGCACACAGGCATTCGGGGCAGGCCAAGAAGCCAACTAACAGCGGCGCTGGCCTGGGGCTAGGGAAGAACAGGGGAAAGGCTGAGCGCTAGGCCCAAACATCTACAGACCTGCAGGACCCACAGCTCAGGGAGACGGTGTCAGGCACTTTAAGCCCGAAACCAAATGCTCTGACTCTAAACCTTGCTGGTCCTGGTTAGGACCTGCTCCAGGGTTTTCAGTTTCTCCTTACCGGGCTCCTCTTTCCAGGTGGGCATGTGGGGCAGGGATGCAGCAATTCATAGCAGAGAATAATAGTCTCAAGAGGACTCAGGCTAGCAAGAGAGGAAAGGCTCTTCGCCAAGGACTGCTCAACACAGCATAAAGCTCCTATTGACCTCAGAGAGCTGGGATGTGGCTCGTTGGGGCAGGCAGAATGCATGGCTGAGTAGTTACCGCCAGCACGATGGAGGGTGCAGAACTGTGTTAGAGAAAGGAGGCAGCCTGTCTTACAGTCATATGGAGAGGGAAGGATTCTGGGCTCTCCTGAGTGCAGGAGAGAGAGAGAGAGAGAGAGAGAGAGAGAGAGAGAGAGAGAGAGAGAGAGAGAGAGAGAGAGAGAGAGAGAGAGTGTGTGTGTGTGTGTGTGTGTGTGTGTGCACGCACGCAAGCACACATATCTGCGTGTGCACGTGTGTGCATGCGCACTTGACATAGGGCTCACTCCTCATCTAAGGATGTTTTCTGACTGCCCTAAGCGTGCAGGGAGCCACTCCAGACCCCAGATGCTAGGCTCTCTCAGGGGCAGGACTCCGGGGCAAAACGCAGCCTATGAAAAAGACACCTGGGGGCTGAGCCAGCCCTGCCTGCTGCAGCCTTGCTCCCTCCGAGGCCGGTGGCTCCACTGACACTTCCCATTCATAAAGCCTCTAGCAAGACCGAAGAGCGTGTGCTGCCTTAGCACTCAGTACCTAGCACTGCTGGAGGACTTGGGCCTGCCTTCCCGTGGAGGTGTCTTTCTAGGAGAGACTTACACAATACAACTGCATTTCTCATTGCATTTTTCTTATGCACTGTTCCATGTGGGGGGGATGGCTACCCTGGGTTTCCCAATACCACATGCTTCTAAAATGGACCGCAATCAGAATACTAAGGAACAGATGCTAAACACACACACACACACACACACACACACACACACACACACCCTTGCCCTGCTAAAGAAGCTGCAAAAACAACAGGTGCCAGTCACAACCAAGTCAGGCTAGCAGTCAAATGACATTTTACCTGTTCCTGATCCCACGACGTCCCGGCTTGGCGACTCAGCCATGGCATCAGCAAGCCGCTCCCGGAGGCCCTCCTCTGTGTGCTCCATGGAGGACATGTGCCGTAGCCCGAAGCCCTCAGGCCAGCTCCCGCACACCTCCAGCAGGGTCACGCTCCGGTCAAAGGTACCTGTGGCACACACGGGACAGCTGGCATTGAGTCCATGCCTGCAGAGGGCAGGCCGTTCTTCTTGTCTGCAAACCACCAATGCCCTTCCATGCGCAGGGCACCAGGAAACAGGAAGGTGCAGAGCAGACCAGCTCACGCCGCCGATGCGAGCGTGCAGGCCTCTCAGGATGACCTCCGTGCCACTGAGGCAAGTGGATTTAAAACTGCTGCTGAGGGGTGACAGGGTTCCTCTAGTCTTCAGGGACCCCAGCAAGCACTGAGACGAGTGTTCACCCTGGCAGTGTGTACACCGAAAAAGAACTGGGGTGAGGGAAGGGGACCCAAACCCCTCTGCTTTTTCCTATTTGATACTATGGGCCTCCACCTAAAATGTCACTTAAAGATGGGGCTGCATTATCTAAATTTTAAAAACACAACTTGTAACCACTGTATCCTATAGCTTACGCCTAATCTCCTCACTTTATAGTTGACATTCTAAGAGGTTATAGTTCAAGAGTAAACACAGGTTTGCAGCAGACCTGCTGATACCTTCGTCTAGAACTCACTCTACCCCACTACAAAGCTTCTCCCAGCTGCCCAGGGACACGGGCACCATTTCAGGGATGCCAGTAATGCGGCTGGATGATAGCATCTCTAGCAAGGACCCTTCCTTAGTCCAAAGCTGCACCCCAATTCCAAAAAGTACACGGAGTTCTGCTAAACGCAAAGATTAGATTTTACATTTAAGATCACTTCAAAGCTCAAAATTTAAATGACTCTACTTTCTTCTACGGCGAGTCTGCTGTGGAAGCTTATTTCACCCACTCTCTCTTGGAAGGAGATTATAGTCATGCTCTGTTGCTTTAAGCACATACCATTTCCCCAGTGATTAGGTAACTGAATCCACTACATTTATTGGGCTCGGTTCCTGCCAGCACCAGGAAGATGAGGAAAAAATGCAAATGCCAGTGTTCCCCAAAGTTAAAAGTCCATGAGACACACACTCTTTATCAGGCCTTGCTTCTCCTCTTTGATCAGCCGTCAGAAACTATCTTCCCGCAGCGGGCAGGACTGGAGAGTGTCAGGCACACCCTCCGCCACTGACAGGTGGTAATAGAGAGGGTGCGAGCCCCAGCCCCGGCAGGCGGCCCTGCCTCTGATAATGGCCAAAGCGGCGTGGTGATAACCGTTAGTAAACACGCAGACAGCCAGCGCCTCCATACATCAGCAAAGTGGGCCAGATAATCCCAAACTCTCCTAACCAGACAAAGGCCCTTGGCCAGCTTGCTGGGATTTGTATGTGTGGCAAGGGCTGCTACTGGCTCCTGAATTTCATCAGGCAAGTTTGCCTTTGATTTATCTCTCACCTAATTGTGGGGTGGATTCCTGGCACTGGCAGATGGCAGCATGCACAGATGCACCTCCCCAAGAAAGCGTCCGCCTTGGGTGTGCATATTTGGGGACATGCTTGTCAGGGAGGACTCCAGCACGGGGAGCTGCCCATCTGCCTTCCCTCCCAATGAGTAGGGCTGGGACATGGCAGTGGGTTGTGGGGGGCCGGGGGTGGGGTGCTGAGTGTCACCGACTGGGCAGAGTGGAGCAAGAGTCACACACTGAAAGTGTAAAGCCCGGAGCCCACACTCAACCAACACTGGCAAAAACTGCTGGGGCCCGGCTCCCTGAGGATACAGGCTAAGGACAGAAAAGGCTTTTTGTTCTATGCCTAGTCACAAACAAGTCCTCTATCTCCTTTCTCCACCTCCGAAGTGGAACGAACAACTCTTGTCCTGTCTCCAAGGAGCAAGAGACTGAGCAAGGTTTCCCAGCAGCCTGTGCTTCCGGCCAGCGTCCCCACAGCGCGACCTGACAAGACCGAGAGCTACAGCCTTGTTTCCGCAAAGGGTCTGCCCAGGACACACACACTTAATGACGTCAGAGAGAGGACGACAAGAACACATGGGTCTCTCCTCTCTGTATACTTAGCTTCCGGTACACTCAGGTTTCAGAGTCTGGAAAGCAGCGAGAGAGCGAGTGGCCTCTCCCTACCCCGGAGCAGGTCGCCTGCCTCTGAAAGGTGCTCGCTCAGTGTTTTACGTGCCACGTTTAGAGGTCAGGGCAGGGGAGCTGGCAGCAGGGCAGACAGGAGCATCAGAACCCAAATGTGGAAGAAAGGAGAGAGTTTTAGGAAGTATTATAGCAGGAAGGTTCTGGTATGAGGCAGGCCTAGTCAATGCTAGATGGCCAGCCAAGTGTGTAATACTTTACAGAATAACAGCATACAGGAGAAAGGATTGTGAGCTAGTGTAATAGTTGAGAACGGAAATAGATCTGAGCTTAGAGACACTCTGACATCTATTACCTACCTGACATGAGACAGGAACCTGAACATGGAGAAACAACGCAACCTCAGAGAGCGGCTGCAAGGACTGCGTTAGATAAACACAAAAGCACCTGATGCGCTGTAAGTGCCGTGGACATAACAGCGCGCACATGTCTGTGTTAATCATAACAAGGGCGCCCAGCTTTAGAGCCCTTGAAGCCACAGGGTAAATTCGGACTCTCATGGTGATCCCAAGTGGTAGTACAGATACCACCTTAATTTAGCTCCTCTACCTTATTTGTGGGGGAGGAGTTGGGAGCTCAGAAAGATTAAGTGATGGCTTCAAAGTCTCTAAGTGACAGATTTGGAACACGGGCTCTTAATTCTTAGCTTGGAGCCCATTCTATCAGCTCCCATGCCGTGTCCCTTGGTGGCACCCACAGAGAACTGTTACATGGAGAAATGGCTTCTTTCTTTCCTAACTTGTTCTGAGAACTGTCACCTTCAGCCAGTGCCTTTCAAACACCTTCCCACTCTCACCCAGCCCAAGGCCCCTGCAGCACCATGCGCTTGGTGAAGAGTCATCCTGTCTACTGAATGGCACACAGGAGAAAACACAGGAAGTAGAAAAACCGAAAGTGATCGGCCAAGGGTATCTTGATCGTTTCTACTGTCCTGAGAAGTCTCAGAGATGGAAGAGCCAGGGGCTGGGGATTTAGCTCAGCGGCACAGTGCCTGCCTGGCAAGCGCAAGGTCGTGAGTTCGATTCCCGGTACCAGAAAAAAAAAAAAAAAAGAGATGGAAGAGCCAGTGGTCCTGCTCCCTCTGCTAGCAGGTGGCCCACAGGAGCTCTGCAACCCCCTCTTCCTGTCCTTCCCTGCCGCCAGTGACTGCTCCTCGGCGGGGAGAGCAGGGCCTGCTGGGGTCTCCCTGCCCTGCACTGAGCGCAGGGCTGCAGGTGCACACGGATCAGCAGGCGCCGTGGGGAAGAGGCCAAGCCCTTGGAGGGTGAGGTCACCTCTGGGCTTTTAGGAAACTGCACGTCTGGTCAGCGCTGACAGCACAGCCATCGCTCATTTGGCCGGGCCAGAGAAGCTCCCTCAGACGGGGGGCCCTTTGCATCCCTTTACATGGACAGACCCATTTCAGGGGAGGAAGGGGCTCAGCTGATACAAGCTGTCTGCAGAGCACAGGGTCCGCATGCTCAGCAACAGAGATGCTCTGCTGCAGCCACACTGCTGCTTATAAAGCCCTCTCACGTTCACTCTTTCAGTTAACGCACACATTCATCAAATATTGATTAGTGTCCACTCTGATACGAGTCAAGCACTGTACTGAAGGACAGGGAAACAGCGTAGGGCGGGTGGGGAGAAGAAGAGAGAGAGGGGAGGGAGACAGAGATCTCCGTCTTCCACAAAACTCCAGGAAGAAGCAAGCAGCAATTATCAGCATTTTACAGACTTCTACTTTATTGAGTTTAAGAGAGGAAAGGTGACTGTTTCTAAACGTTACAGTCCTCGCATGAAACCTACAGGAAATCCTTCCCTTTGGGGCTGCCTCCCACCTGCTATTCTCTGAATGCCATTCTCCAAGACCTAGTTCAAGTCTGACCTGCTCGATGAAACCTCCAGCAACTGACTCCCCAGAGTGAGACCGGTGCTGTGCCGCGGACTATGACAGCACCACAAGTACTTCACTTTCAGAGTAAAGTTGATCAAAGCTGCAAATTTACCCACAAAAATGTGTGCTGTGCATGCCCGAAATTATGCAAGCAATTTCAGGGTGCTGATGGATGTCTCTGAAGTGCACCTGTGGGTGCAGGTTTATCTGAGGACCCCTCAGGTCACCCCTAGGGTCTTATTCCCGTACTGCTTCACAGTATAGCCATGACATGCTTTCCTAACTAGTTGAAGGCTTGATTTCTTCATAATGGAAAGAAGCATAGAACTCTATGTCACCATCGCTCAAAACAGATTTTTTTTTATTCATTATGACCATCTGGGAAAATTGACAGTCACTTTGGAGTCAACATAATTTTTGTAGGGTACCACAGACTGGACATCCAGGGCCAGAGTAGGTAGAAAATGGAATTAAAATTAAATAAGAGGAATGAAGAAGATGGTAAGTGAGCAGAAAACAAATTCACAATTTCACTCTACTGCTGCCTCTGCGCTTATTTTAGATCTGAGATCCCGGGAACCGGACAAAACCACCTGCCTGAAACAGCACAGAGCACTGGTCTCCTACAGGTGAGCGTGCGAACCCTGCTCCCCAGCTTGGCAGCCCCCCAGAGGAGGGGTGGGTCAGGTTCTTGGGTTTCACAGACCCATTAAAGGCATTCTGGGACAGCTGGTGAGCTGGCAGCTGCCGGGCAGGCTTGGGGAGCGCACGTTCCGCCTTTGTGTGCTGTTGTCAGAGGGGCCAGGACGCTCGGGGTGGCAGTGGGGTGGGGCAGGCGGGATGCTCCTCTGCACTGATAGTGTCTAATCACACCTCTGCTGTGTTGGAGCCTGTGCCACTGCCTCTGCTTTGCGTCAGTTACATCCAGACAGCGTTTGGACCCTGCTTAGAGCCTGTTGATCAGATTTCCAGCCACCAGGGAGGCCAGATACTGAAAGCAAAGGCTACATTAAACAATGCTCTCAAAGCATCAGCCCTTCTAGGTGAGAGCTTGTTGTAATAATGATGTCAGTGACAACTGAGCAAAGATTCCAGGCACCATAAAGGCAGCCACTGGAGAGTTTCCTTGCCTAGCTCACCCAACTATCAACCAAACTGAGCTGAAGGTCCGTGCCGTGGGAACATGGCCTTCTCCCACTGCACACTGGTCCACATGAGCACAGGCTGCGGACATGAACTTTACCTGAAGCAGTGATCGGTTACATGTTAACTTGACTGGGCTAAGGGATGCCCAGATAGCTAGCAAAACATTATTTCTGGATGTGTTTGTAAGGGTGACTCTAGAGGAGATTAGCACTTGAACCAGTAGACTGAGTAGAGATGATCCCCTCTCACCAATATGAGGGCCTAAATACAACAGAAAGGAGGGAGAAGGGAAAATTTGTTCTCTCTCTTTGAGCTGGGACATTATCTTCTACAGCAATTGAAAATTGGTGCTGTTGGCTGTTAGGACTTGGGGCTCAAATTGTGACTTACTCTATTAGCATCGTGGTCCTCAGGCCTTTGGACTTGGACCGAGACTTACTCTACCAGCAACCCTGGTTACCTAGTCTTTCAACACTAACAGCCATACCACTGGCTTTCCTGGTGCTCCAGCATGTGAGTGTGAGGGAGAAGGGCTCCACAGCTTCCATAATCAGGTGAGCCAATTGCCATATCAATCAGTACATCTCTGTCTCTCCCTCTCCCTCCCCCACCCCATCTCCCATTGGTTCTGTTTCTCTAAAGAGCCCTGACTAACATGCTCCATCACTGGGTATGTCTGCAAGCGTGTTTCATTACATCCATCTACACAATGTCATGATGAGCGGATTGGTTCACTGTAGGAAAGCAGGTACGGTGACAGGCTATGAGGACGCCATCTTTCTCTCTCAATCTTTTAGGTTGGTTCCTAAAATAACTACAGACGCGGACTGCAGGATGACATTTTGGGCCGTGATGGGCTGCGTGTGAGAAGGCGGTCCAGGAAATTGTAATGAAGCTGATAAATCTCTATCATCTGTGACGTCACAGCCACCATGACATCACAGTGCAACATGCTGTGTACATATTTGCGGTGATGCTGGGTACAGACAAACCTACCGTATGGCCAGTTATACAAAAGTGTACGTAAGTGTATGTATAATGCATAATACTGATAATAAATGATTAAATTATTGGTTTTTCTAGTCACTATGCTTATTATTATTATTTTAGGGTGTGCGCCTACTTAAAAGAGTATACTGTAACAGAGTGAGTCACGGTACGCAGACCGTGGGCTCATGCGTCTCATCTTTACTGTGTCTTGTCATGGAAGCCTTTCCTAGGGACTGACCCATACAATCTACATTTGTGCAAGTACACGCATGGTGTTCACACAACAAAATTCCCTAACAATGCATTCCTCAGAATATTTCCTGCTGTTAAGTGACAAGTGACTATAATTCTGTAATTCACAGACCGGCACCCGGCAAAGGGACAGGGACTCCAGTTTGCCAAACTTGTGACCATCAGTAAACCACGTGACCTGTGTTCATCCATGTGGCTGTGAACTTAGGTTTGGGCATTGGCCTATTTTTAAAGGTTATTCTACTCCAGTTTGGAAGGGAACTGAGCAAAAAGAAAGGAAAAGGTGCCAGTGAAGAGCAAAGAAATGCCTAAGTGAATGTGGGCACGCCAGGAGACGCCGACGTGCCAGGTGTGGTGCCGGTATGCACATCTGTTCTCACCGGCCACAGGCCCCTGAGGAGAAGGGACGATCACTGGTTACAGGCCTGTGTATAGGCTGCCACATGCGGCCACCATACCAAGTGGTTCTGAGCCAGAGAAGAGAAATTCAAGAGTAACAAACCCTAAGAATTTCTTTGCGATTTAACAGGTGCTTTGTCAAGGAAGCCACTTTTACAACCGCAATATAGGATCATAATGCATGCTTTAAAGGTTAGAATACAGACTGTAAATCAAGACAGTTAGTTATAACTGGAATTCTCCCTTAACTTTTCTTGGTCGTATGGGTCACTAATCCCTTCTGAGTCCTTCCACCTGAGGAATAAACGAATGACTCCCGTGGTTTCAATGCAATTAACAACACCACACTAACGGAGTAATGGTAAAAGGATGTTTGAAGTATCCTAGGGTAAAAGCTACCAAATTTCATTTTCTACACACCAGGTACCATAATCAAGCACTAATACCACAAGAGTCTTGTTTTTACGTAATTAAAGGCACATGATAAACAGAAAACCTGGGTTCGAATATCAATCCTTGTTACTTTCTCATTGTATGACTTGGGGGAAGTCATTTCCCTGCTTCAGACATTCAAATGGTTGAATGGTGTCCCCCCTAAAATACAGACTCCAAAGGTGACCTTATTTGGAAATAGGGTCTTTGCAGGTGTAATTAAGGCTCTGGAGATGAGACCATTCTGGATCTAATATACGCCCTAGTTCCAATGACTGGTGTTCTTATAGGGGGGATCATAGACAAAGGACAGAAGGCTATGTGAAGACAGAGAACACAGAATAGCCACCAGGAGCCACCGGAAGGTAGAAGGAAGTGTTCTTCCCTCCCTCTGGAGGGAGTGTGACCCTACTAACATCCTGCTCTTGAATTTTGACCTCTAGGAGTATGAGAGAATAAATTTCTGTTATTTTAAATCACCAACTTTATGGTAATTTGTTATAGCCACCCTTAGAAGGTAAGAAACCTGTAAAACAGAGAAATGAATATTTGCCTTCCTATGAGTATCATCATATAGTATATGTGAGAGTATGTTGAATAAAAATTATTGGAGGCCATTGCTTTGGATTGAATTCTTGCATTAGGCCTTAAGATATCTGACCATATCAAAATGGAGTCACTCACGCTAAATGTCACATAATGAAACCAAAATGTTAAGGAGGCAGACAGATCTCATAACAGGAGATTCCAGTCTCCTGAGTCAGTTTGGTAAGGTAGCTCCCTCACTATCCCTTACAGAAAAGCAACTTGAGGTTAACCAGTGAGTTACAAACTCACTGCGTGCTCTTTCAAGTGGGGACTCCCACCCTATTTTGTAGAATGGAGACCGTCCCCCACTTCACAAATTATAAATAAAAGGCAATTACATCTAAATAAATTTGTTATAATTTTGTGTACTGACAGTTGCTTTGAAAGACTGCACAGGGCCATTCAAACATACAGGGTTATCCCTTGGGCGCAGTCAGCAGTTCTTCTTAGAGGCTAGGAAACTCTGTGAAAGGTTCAGAGTGATGGACAAAATCTTGGACCAGCAAATAAGCAGCCCAAGGAGAACCGTGGGGTAGGGAACAGCCACATCAACTCCTAGTACCACTGACATTGGTTACGTGTTAACTGCACAGCAAGCACCTTTGATGGGGAGTCCAAGCATCAAGGTGGGGAGTGCACCCCACGGGGTAGAAATGGCCTCTTTAGCTCTGATAAAGGCCCTTATAATCTCAACGACCTTCCTGCTTCTGAGGATGGGGAAAGGACTTTTTAGTTCCTTAAATTCTTTAATAAAGAAACAGAATTATATTCAACATGGTAAAGACAGAATGATATAGACCACTGCTGACAGGAATATCACGGGTATCCACCATCTGAAGGACTATTTGGCAAATATGTATTAAGAATTAAAAATATACCCAAACTAGCAGATGTGGTGGTGCACGCCTATAATCCCAGCACTCAGGAGCTGAGGCAGGAGGATTGCAATGAATATGAGGCCAGCCTGGGCTACATAGTGAGAACCTGTCTCAAAAAACCAGAAATAAAACAAAAACACCCAACCACTAACCTAAGAATGCCATTTACAGAAATTTAGCGCAAGGAAATCATCTAGTACACCAAGAAACCTTCATGTATAAAGATGCTTACTATTACTGAACATTGCCATAAGAAAGGTTACTTATTAAGTAAATTTTATGTCATGCCAGCAATAGAGTATTAGGTATCAGGAAGAATGATGTTTATAAAAGAAGAACTTCTTTTATTGTTATGTTTTTGCTGGGGCTTGAACCTTGGCCCCTGCATGTGCTAAGCATCCAATCTACAGGGAAAATTCTTTACACAATGCTAACTTTTTAAAAAGATAAAAGTATATAGTTAATATTATTGAGCAATATAAAAAATGAACAGAAAACCATTCTCAATGATTCACGGAAGGATGCTAATGATGGTTGCCTCTTGGTAACTAGGTTATAGGGGACCTTTCTGTTGCTTTACACTTTTCTATATATTTCCTACAATGTTTGTAATCGATAAAAGGAGAAGAGGAAGCATCCAGACATGGTGGTGCAGGCCTGTAATCCCAGCACTCGGGAGGCTGAGGCAGGAAGATCGCCATGAGTTCAAGGCCAGCCTGGGCTACATAGTGAGTTCAGGGGCAGCCTGAGCTACATAGCGAGACCTATCCAAAAAAAAAAAAAAAAAAAAAAGGGAGGAGGGGTGAAGAGAAAGTTGAGAAAAATGAAGAAAAGTTAAAGTTGCCCTTGAGAGTAACCCGCATGCTGGGAGCAGGCTGGTGGGCGGCACCAGAGTGGAGGCCTGACCGGGCTGCGCGGCCGCCCCTGTCCAGCCCTGGGCTTGGCCGGACTCGCAGCAGGCAGGGGAACCAACAGCTCTGTGGCCCATGTTTGACTCTTCTCCCGGTGGCTGTGCTGGCTGCACGCAATGCCGAGTCACCCCTGTGTACACACGACAGATTTCTTTTTAGTCTGTACCAGGAATGTGCACCAACTCGTGTGAGACATGGCAGGAACAATTCTGCCTCTGTACAAATTTCACACTTCAGGTCAGAAAGTGCCACTGGAACAACTTTAGAGCTGATTTTTAAAGTCCTTTACTTGTCTTGTTTGTCCCTCACTAGTAACTGTCCTTTGGATAAACAGGACACAGCTTCCGAGGAGACGCCCTTTCTTGATTGTCAAAGAATGTCTGAGTCCTGCGCACGTCATGAGGCCATTGAGCAGGGACCCGGCTGTCTGCCTCAGAGTCCAGACATCAGTCGCCACTGTCCCCCTTGGAAGGAGAATCTGACGCTCCATGCTCAGACCCAGGGCAGCTTCAGAGGCTGAGGTGACTTCTAAGATGGGCAGACACTTGGATTTCCCAGACTGAATCACACCCCGCCTTTGTTCCTCTGCTCTGGAGCCGGCACAGTGATAATTTTTACCCCTCCAAGTGGGAAGGAAAGGATCGCTCTGTAGCTAGACTGCAGTGAAAACGTTTCCTTCAGGACGCTCCAGCCCGCTTCTGAGGGCGAAGGGAAAATGTCTGAACACCACCACGTTGTCAGGTTCCTACAGCAGGGCTCAGAATAAACTGCAGGAAAACTGTGTCTTCGGAAACCTAACAATTCCGTCAGTGGAAAAACTTCATGGAATCCTATCTCTCAGACAGCAAGCACACAAACCGGCCTTCCTAGGTCGGTTCTGATTCCTCCACGTAATTAGGTCTGGGGTTAGCTCAGATAGCAGGACAGATAAAAGCGCTAGCATTTGCTGAGCGTCAATGGTGCGCCACGAGGCTGATGCTATCATTCCCAATTTACAGATCAAAAAAACTGAGGCAGAGAGATGTAAAACATCTGTTCAAGATGACATCAAAGGCAGCCAAGATTCTGACTGTAGGCTCATCTGGTTCCAGAGCCTGCACTTTCCCCACTGAAATGCATGCAAAAACTGAATTCTGAAGTACGGGTACAGGCCCAGCGAGGAGGCGGTCAGCTGTCTTCTTGCCCCACCGCCAGCCCAGCGCTGGGATCGAACTCAGGGCCATGGGCTGCCAGGCAAATGTCTACCACGGAGCCACAGCCCAGCACATTCCCAGCGGTAATGGGTTCTTGGAGTTGCGCAGCAGAGGCGGAGGGGAACAGCCGAACAAAAGCCCTGAGACTCCTGTGCTCCACGAAGGAGCCAAATACAATGCTCTCAGCGGAGGAGAACCTTGAAGTCTGAGACCTGGGGCCAAGAAGTCGTCTGCTTTTATTAATCAAAGATGTTTCAAAAAGCATCAGATTTATCATGACTGGATTCAGATGTGAGGCCCAGTAAACACACACGAGTGGCCTGTCCTTTAGGAGTATTTTTGACCCTTTCCTCTCTGAGAATCTGCACTTCCTCAGTGTGAGACCCTGCTTCC